TCGTCCTTGCCCTCTCCATCTCTCCCTGTCCCTCTTAGACACACCCGAGAGTAGAATGACATTCGCCTCTCTCTCGCCCTGAAAGTGAAGCAAACCGATCCAATTATGAAAAACGTCCTTGGCAGAAAGAGCGAGTCGCTGTAATTATGCCGTCGACAGGCTGTGGCGAGAGGGAGGGGAGAGAGCGAACGAGTGAGGGAGGGAAGGAAGGGGGGAGGAGGGAAGGAGGACGGAAGGAGGGGGAGGGATTGAGGAAGGAGGGAAGGAAGAAGGGAGGGAAGGAAGGAAGAAGGGAGGGAGAGAGAGATAGAGCAAATAAGAGAGAGAGAGAGAGGGAGAGGGGTGGGGGGGGAGAAAGGTGAGAGAGACAACCCATAATTTCACATTTCTCTTCTGTAAGGCACTATTTTGTCGTACGCTATGCTCCACTTACACACTCTCTGGCCGAGTCTGTGATGATGATACGCCGTAAAGAAAAATGGTCTCTGCATTTAAAGTACTCGTTTGGTTGTCCAAATGCTGAGTCATATGGAAATTATTCTCTTTTTGCGGAAGAGACGGAGAGAGAGAGAGAGAAAAGCAGTTTGTGATTGTTGTGCGCAGCCGATGATGCAATAATCCACGTTTTCTCTGGACGCGCCACCTTGAGGCTCGTTTTCTGTGATGGCGGACTGGCTGTATGGAGGGGATACATTTTCAAATTGCCTTGGAACCTTCGTCTTATAAATGTTTTGTTTATTTTGTGGTGATTTTAGGGATTTCGTTGTAAAGCTTAATAAGTTGGGAAATGGAATTCTTCTAATGATTTTAGAAGGATATACTGGTGGAAATCGAGCCTCGACTGAAGTACTTATGTCTTCTCACTCAGTCTCTTGCTCGCTCGCTCACTCATTCACGCACTCATTCACTCACTCACTCACTCTCACTCACACCACACACACACACACACACACACACACACCACACACACACACACACACACACACACACACACACACACACACACTCACTCACTCACTCACTCACTCACTCACTCACTCACTCACTCACTCACTCACTCACACACTCAATCACTCATCTTTATCAACACGCCCAGGATAGTCGTCACGTGTGACACCTGCTCAAAGCACACCTGGATTACACCTGTGGAAGAGAAATAAAAAACACTTTGCTTTTGTGGGATCACGTGTCTGGTTAACACTTGTTGGTTCCTCAGTTCGCTATGGTTGTGAGGTTGGCAGAACGGCAGATGGCACGGGACCAGCTGCCTGCCCGCCCGCCTGCCCGCCTGCCCTAAATCCCCTCCCCCCTTCTACCCCCCTCCCCCATCCCCAGTGTGCCCACATACCCTCAACTTTTATGGTGATTCATACTGTCAGTTGGGAAGGAAGGGGGGGGATAGGGGGGATAGGGATGGAAGGAAGAGTGATAGGAGGCGGGAGGGATGGTAAGAAGGAGGGAAGGAAAGGGGAGAGAGAGAGAAGGGAAGAGAGAGAGAGTGATATTTTACATTTTATGATCCTTTTCTGGTCTGGATGTATGTCTCGTATTCCGTTTCTTGGATTTCGTTTTCCCTTTATTTTCTTGCCGTTGCATCCGTTTGCGTTGGTCTCTGCCTTTTGAGGTCGGGTGCCGTGTGGGTTGCAGCGGCTCTGGCTTGGCTTGGAAACTTTTCATTTTTTGTTCTATCCCTTCTGTCTCTTTGTGTATTCCTCTTTTTATCATATTGTCTTTTCTTCTTTCTCTCCTCTCCCTTCACCACTTCCTCCTTCACCTCCCGCCCTCATGCTCTTCCTGCTCTTCCTCCTTCCTTCCATCTCTCACCTCCCACCATCTTCCTCCCCCTCCCTCCCAGATTAAGGTCGCATTAAAGGCATTTCCCAATTATCCTAATGCATCTCGGGCCGTGCGCGGGATAAGCATCTTTAATTGGGCGGGAGAGCGAGCGGGATTGCAAAGGGTATATCGTTGCACAGCCTTGCTTTGAAGGAGGGGGGGCAGGGAGGGGAGGGGGGAGGTTGCAAGGAGCTCGGATTGGTTCCTTATTGTTATTATTATTAGTTTTGTTATATTGTTATTTTTTAGTTGTTGGTATTGTTGTTTGTTGTCGTTATTAGTATTATTGCTATTGTTGTTTTTGTTTATTACTTTTTTATAATTATCATCATTTATTATCATTATATTATTATTATTTTTATTATTATTATTTTGTTGTCAATATCACACCATTCATTATTATTATTGTTACTGGTTTTGTTGTTGTTATCATTAGTATTGGTTTTAGTATTAATAATATAATCATTATATTTATAGTGTTATTATTATTATCATTATTATTATTATTATTTATCCTATTAGTATTATTGTTGTTTTTACTATTATCATAGCTGTTGCTAATGCCATCATTTTTATTATTATTCTATTAGATTTAATTAGGATGTATATAATGTTATGTGTGTTAATTATGAAAATGTTCGGCTGTTACGTAACTGTAGGAAGATTGTTATATACATTCAGAGGAATTTGATTATAACTGTAACAGCTACTCTCTCTCTCTCTCTCTCTCTCTCTCTCTCTCTCTCTTCTCTCTCGTCTCTCTCTCTCTCTCTCTCTCTCTCTCTCTCTCTCTCTCTCTGAGTGAAGACGCTTCCAAGACGCAGACTAGCAGTCGAGGGCGCCGCAGAGGGCCCGTGACCCGACCGACCCGACGCCTATAATTCTAGGCTTCGGTGACGTGTATGACGACACCGCGGCGCCTTCTGGCTCGGGCGCGAGGCGGGCGTGCGGAGGGAGCGCCCCCCTCGTCAGAAAGTGCATCGCGAGGATAGTGCGCGTAGGGTGGTCGAGCACGGGTGCCCTGTGGCGGCGTTGGCTTGCGTGCAGGACAGGCCTCGGTTGCTCTGGCGATGGTGGGGGCGAGGCTTTCCCGGGGGGGGGGGGGGCGTTGTTCTTTCTCTCTCTCTCGATCCCTTCTTGGGAATTTCCCCCGAAGATTGATTTTAATGCAGGCTTTTCAGGATAATACACGTTCACATGTAAACGTATGTACATACATACATGCATGCATGGATATATATATATATATATATATATATATATATATATATATATATATATATATATACATATATATATATATATATAATAATATATATAAATATATATATATATATATATATATATATATATATATAATATATATACATACATACATACATATATACATATATACATATATATACGTATATATATATATATATATATATATATATATATATATATATATATATATTATATATATATATGTATGTATGTATGTATGTATGTATGTATGCATGTAGGGATGTATGTAGGGATGTTTTTATATGTATATATATGTGGGGGGGATGCATACATACATATAAGCATCCATATGCATATATGCGTATGTATTTATGTATGTTTATTTGCGTTTGTGCCCGCTGTTGGAGCAAAGAAAAGGGAGAGAAACAGACACTCGTTCTGGAGGGCGGGCCGGCGCGGGCGGGCCGGCGCAGACAGCACTCCATCTGATCGCGTTGACTCGTAAGGCGGAGGTGTCTGGGTAGCGACAGGGGAAGGGGAGGGGTAGGGGAGGCGAGGTTGAGGGGGGCCAAGGTAGCGTAGGAGACGGGAGGAAGGAAGGAGGCGAGGGTTAGGTTGGTAGGGTCGGGCATAGTGTGGAAAGGTAGTTTAGGTAGGGTAGAGTGAAGTAGGGTAGGGCAGAGTAGAGTAAAGTGTGGTATGGTAGGGAAGGGTAGAACGGGTTGGGTAGGGTACAGGAATGGGTAGATAGGGTAGGGGAATGGGTTGGGGCTGTAGTAACCTTGAGCGTGAAACACGTCTGGGAGCCGCCCATTGTATCGTGACCTACCGTGGGGGAACCTATTACCTGTCGCGCTCCCCTAGACCTTTCTCCCTCCCCCTCCCTCTCCCCTTCCTCTCCCCATTCCCTCTCCCTCTTCTCCTCTCCCTCCCTCTACCCTTTCCTTTTCCCTCCATATTCTCCTTGCCCTCCTCCCCCCATTCCCTTTCCCGTCCCCTTCCCCTTCCACTTACCCCTCCCCCTTTTCCTTCCTTTTTTCTTCATCAACACCTGTCAGCGAGTCTGGCGTAAAGGCTTCGCAAGGCAACAGATCTAGGCCTTCCTCAGATACACGAATTCAAAAGAGAGAGAGAAAAAATAATTTGCTCGATACGGTATTGGTATCGTATTCCAGGGTGCGGAGTGAGGAGTGTCTTGCTAGGTACCAAGCCTTACCTTGACAGTCTGTCTGGCACCTTCGAGGCCCCGCCCCTCCAAGGTCTGGGCAGGTGAGTGACGTGTACGCCGCCTGTGACCGCTGTGACACCGTCCTGCCAACACCCGACGGCCACCTGTGTTGTAATTGCGTCCCCCTGTGGTCTGAGGGACCTCGAGACCATCACGCTTCGTCACATTGGGATTGTGCGCTGACGCCATACTGCGGTCCCCCTCTCTCTTCTTCTTCCTTCTCTTCCTCTCTCCCTCTCTCTCTCTCCTCTCCCTCCTCCTCCTCCTCTCCCTCTCTCCTCCTCTCCTCTCTCCCTCCTCTCCCTCTCTCCCCTCCTCTCTCTCCCTCTCTCCCCTTCTCCTCTCCTCTCTCCCTCTCTCTCCCTCTCTCTCCTCTCCCCTCTCCCCCTCTCCTCTCCCTCTCTCCCCTCCTCCTCTCCTCTCTCCCCTTCTTCCTCTCCCTCTCTCCCCTTCTCATCTCTCCCTCTCTCCCTCTCTCCTCTCCCTCTCTCCCCTCCTCCTCTCCTCTCTCCCTCCTCCTCCCCTCTCTTCCCCTCCGTCCCTCTCTCCTCCTCTCCCTCTCCCTACACTCGCCCCCACCTTCTCTCCTTCACTCCCTCTCTACTTACTTCCCTTCCTTCTTCACTCCCCCTCTCTCTCTATATATATATATCTTTCTCCCTGTGACCGCAGTATGGTTCACCTTTTTAAAAGTACCAATAGGAAGATTTCAGGTCGATAAGTATTCAGAGAACTGGAACAGGAATATTTTGTGTGGATTAGAGATTGGCAATAGGAATGGCCAAACATTTAGAAAATATAGACACACATATTTTGGGTCGAAATGCATTTTGAGAATTAGCTCCAGGGCACACGACAATTCATTATTCACCACTTGAATGGGACAATAAGTGAGACAATAAGTAAAATCTATTGAATTAAACAAAAACCATTCACTTCTCTCGACCGCTGGGGCTTCCATTGCCTAGCGCCCGGGCCCTTTTGGACACAGGCCTATGGGACAGCTCGGAGGGAAACGGACCTGCAGTTATCATGAAATATGCAAATTCGATGGGGCTTAAAAAGAGCTTTGGGCGACGGGCAACAAAAGGGTAATCGGCTTTGTCCGGGACCGATCCCGTGTTCTGTGCGAAGGAGCTTTGTTGTGTGGCCACTTCTCCCTTGCTTTCGTTTTTTTGTTCTTCATTGCTTTTGTTTTTTGGTTCTCTTGCTGTCGTTTTTGGCTGTCGTTTTGGTTCTCCCTTGATTTCGTTTTTGGTTCGCCCTTGCTTTCGCCCTTGATCGTTTTTTGGTTCTCCTGATTTTTTGGTTCTCCCTGATTTCGTTTTTGGTTCTCCCTTGATTTCGTTTTTGGTTTTTTTTTGTTCTTTTGGTTCTGTTTATTTTTTTGATTGCTTGTATGGAGTTGTAAGGAGAGCAATGAAAATGGGAGGGAATGCAAGAGAATTGAGGGAGAAGGGAGGAAAAGATTGGGAATATAAAGGGGGATAAGTAAAATGGTGGAGGAAGGAGGAAGAAAGAGGGAGAAAAGAAAGAACGGCGGTGGAAGGAGAACCGGAGGGAGAGGAAAATCAGTCCGAGAAAGGAGGACGAAAGTCAAGGTATAGACAAAGGAAGAAGAAAAATCTTAGACTATGGGATAATCCAGGAAATAAAGAACAGAGAGGCAGAGAGAAGAGACAAGGCAAACATGGACAGAGAAATGGGTGAATAACGGATAGAGATAGACAGGAACAGAAACAAGAGGCTAACGGAGGTGGAACGAAGGATATAAAGGACATTAAAAACACACAGTCAGGAAGAAATGAAGACGCGCACGCACGCACGCACGCACGCACGCACGCACGCACGCACGCACGCACGCACGCACCACACACACACACACACACACACACACACACACACACACACACACACACACACACACACACACACACACACACACACACACACCCACACACACACACACACACACACACATACACACACACACACACACACACATACACAACACACACACACATGCACACTTCACACACATACACACATGCATATTTATACTTGCGTACACACGTACATACATATATACATGTAAACATACATACATGTACACATACATGCATACATGCAAACATACATACATACATACATACATACATACATACATACATGTATACATACATAGATGCATACATAGATGCATACATATATTAAGACATACATTTATACTTACATATATACATAAATAAATACAGACATAAACATATATAATGGAAAGTATTCTAGAATACATATATACATATACAATATAAAAGACGCATCATTTCATATGCAGACACAGAGATGCAAAGTAAAGAGATATTTTTACCATGTCTTACCACGGTTTAAAATTTCCTTCGCTGTTGTGTGTCCAAATAAAGAAGCGCATACTCTTTCACTTCCCCTCCCAGATAGGAGGGAGAAAGGAGCGAGGGAGAGAGAGGAGAGAGGAGAGAGAAGGAGGAGAAGGGAGGGAGGGAGAGAGGGAGGGGAGGGAGGAGCAGAGAGAGAGGGAGAGGAGGGAGGAGGAGGGAGAGAGGAGAGGAGAGGGAGAGAGAGGAGGGGAGGAGGAGGGAGGGAGGGAGGAGAGAGGGAGGAAGAGGAGGGGAGAGGTGACTGTGTGCGATGAGGAGTGAGTGAGCAAGCTGTTCCAGATCTGCCTTGAGTGTGACTAGACAGCACCCCGCCCCCCTTCACCTTCACTCTCCCTTTTTCTTTTATCTCACCTCATGCCTCCTTTCTTTCCCCTCTCGTTCCTTTCCTCTCTGTCTCACATCTCTCCCTCTCCTCTCCTTCTCTCCCTCTCTCCTTCTTTCCTCTCTCATCTCCCTCTCCCCTTCTTGCCTCTCCCTCCTCTCTTCCTCTCCTCCTCTCCCCCTCTCCTCCCTCTCCCTCTCCTTTCCCCCTGAGGTCGTCATGCTATAATAAGTACCCGGAAGGCAGAAATGTACTGCTCTCGCCTTACTCCTTTGGAAGTATCCACTTTCCACAGAGTCGACGTCTTAAGTAACTTTTCAACTCGATGCAGACTTTTTTCTACTTTTTTTTTCTTTTATGTCTATGTTGTCTCTCTCTCTGTTTCTGTCTCTTATTTTCTCCCTCTCCCTCTCCTCCCCCCCTCCCCCCCCCTCCCCCTCATCTCTCTCTCTCTCTCTCTCTCTTCTCTCTCTCTCTCTCTCTCTCTCTCTCTCTCTCTCTCTCTCTCTCTCTCTCTCTCTCCCGTGTTTTGTATAACCGATATTGCATACGTCGGAGCTTCAGTGGAAGGGTGTTGGTGTGTGTGTCTAGAGAAACATCCAGGTGTGTTAAATAAAAGATGTTTTACGTTTGTTGTTCCTTTTTTCAGTGTTTTTCTTCTTGTTGTTGTTTTTCTCTTTATATTTCCCTTTTCATCTTTGATTTTTTCTCTTCTCTCCTCTCCTCCTCTTCTCTCTCCCCCTCCCCCTTCCTCCCTCCCTCCCTCCCTCCCTATCTCTTTCTCGTATTTTTCTCCCTCATTGACCACATTCAGTCTCTCTCCCTCTCTCAAAATCCCCCTCTCTTCTTTCCTCCACTCCCTCTCTCTCTTCTCTTCCCAATTCCTCTTCTTCCAGAGAGAAAATGGAGGTAATATTCGACCAGCAGAACATCCAGAGAAAACCCACACGAAGGGAAACTTCAGCTGATATGCAGGGAGAGAGGGGTGAGGGTGGAGTCGGGGGCTGGGGAGGGGAGTCGGGGTGGAGTCGGGTAGGGATGGGGAGAGGAGAGGTGGAGTCTGGGTAGGGATGGGGGAAGGGTGAGGGGGTAGGGGTGGGGGAGAGGGAGAGGGTGGAGTCTGGGTAGGGTGTGGGGGAGAGGGAGAGGGTGGAGGGGGTATGTGGAGGGGGAAAAGCCGGATCGTATTAAGTTTTGTTATACACGAATCATGGCGAATCATGACTCTCTGGAGAGCCGCAAGGTGTTTTGGGAAATATCTCTTGAGAGAGAGAGAGAGAGAGAGAGAGAGAGAGAGAGAGAGAGAAGAGAGAGAGAGAGAGAGAGAGAGAGAGAGAGAGAGAGAGAGAGAGAGAGAGAGAGAGAGAGAGAGAGAGGAGAGGAAGAGAGAAGAAGAGAGAGGGAGAGAAATAATGAGGAGAGAGAGGAGAGAGGAGAGAGAGAGGGAGAGAAGAGAGGAGAGAGAGAGAGGAGAGAGAGGAGAGGGAGAGAGAGAGAGAGAGAGAGAGAGAGGGAGGAGAGAGGAGAGAGAGAGAGAGGAGAGAGAGAAGAGAGAGAGAGAGAGGAGAGAGAGAGAGAGAGAGAGAGAGAGGGAGAGAGGAAGAGAGAGAGGGAGAGGGAGAGAGAGAGAGAGAGAGAGAGGGAGGGGAGAGAGAGGAGGAGGAGAAGAGAGGGAGGAGGGAGGGAGGAGAGGGAGGGAGGAGAGGGAGAGAGAGGGAGGGAGCGAGGGAAGGGAAGGAGGGAGGAAGAGGGAGGAGGGAGAGAGTGAGGGAGGGAGGGAAAGGGAGGGAGGGAGGGAGGGAGGAGAGAGAGGGAGAGGGAGGAGAAAGAGGGGAGTATATTTGAAAGGGAGGGAGGAGAGAGAGGGAGAGGGAGGGAGGGAGAAGAGAGGTAGGGAGGGAGGAGGTAGAGAGAGGGAGGGAGGGAGAGAGACTTGAGATCGGAGAGGAGGAGGGAGCAGGAGAGAGAGGAGGGGGAGGGAGATAGAGGGAGAAGGAGGGAGGGAGAGAGAGGGAGGAGGGAGAGAGAGGGAGGGAGGAGGGAGGGAGAGAGAGGGAGGGAGGAGATAGGAGGAGGGAGGAGGGTAGGGAAGAGAGGGAGGAGGTGGAGGGCGAGAGAAGGGAGGAGGGAGGGAGGGAGAGAGAGGAGGGAGGAGATGAGAGGGAGGGCAGGGAGGAGAGAGAGGGAGGAGGAGGGAGAGAAGAGGGAGGGAGGAGAGAGAAGAGGGAGGAGGAGGAGAGAGAAGGGAGGGAGGAGATGAGGAGAGGAGGGAGGGAGAGAAGGAGGAGAGGAGGGAGAGGAAAGGGAGGGAGGGAGGAGGAGAGAGAGGCGAGGAGGAGGGAGGGAGAGGGAGGGAGGGAGGGAAGGAGAGGGAGGAGTGTGAGGAAGGGAGTAGGGCATGAGGAGAGAGAGGGAGGAGGAGTGGGAGGGAGAAGAGGAGGGAGGGACGAGATAGGAGGAGGGAGGAGGGATAGAGAGGAGGAGGGAGGAGGGAGAAGAGGGATGAGAAGGGAGGGAGGGAGAGAGAGGGAGGGAGGGAAGGGAAGGGAGAGAGAGGAGGGGTAGGGAGGGAGGGAGATGAGAAAGGAGGGAAAGATGGAGGGAGGGGGAGGCGGAGGGAGGAGAGAGGCGGAGGGGGAGAGAGGGAGGGAGGAAGAGAGGGAGGGAGGGAAGGGAGAGAGAGGGAGGGAGGAGGTAGGAGGAGAGAGAGCGAGGGAGGGAGGCAGGAGGAGAAGAAGTGGAGGGAGAGAGGGAGGAGAGAGAGGGTAAGGGAGGGAGGGATGGGAGAGAGAGGAGGGAGGGAGGAGAGAGAAAGGAGGAGGAGGGAGGGAAAGAGAGGTAGTATGGATGTGAGATGAGAGAGGGAGGAGGGAGGGAGGAGGTAGAGAAGGGGAGGGAGGGAGGTGAGAGAGAGGATGAAGGGAGGAGAGGTGAGAGAGGGAGGGAGGGAGTGAGGAGAGAGAGGGAGTGAGGACAGGAGGAGAGAGAGGGAGGGAGGGAGGGAGAGAGAGGGAGGAGGAGGGAGGGAGCGAAGAGGAGGGAGGGAAGGGAGAGAAGGAGAGGGAGGAGGAGTAGAAGAGGGGGAGGGAGGAGGGAGAGAGAGGGAGGGAGGGAGGGAGGGAGGTGAAGAGAGAGGAGGAGGGAGGGATTGGGTGTAGAGAGAAGGGAGGAGGGAGTGGAGGGAGAGAGAGGGAGGGAGGGGAGGAGAGGGAGGGAGGGGGAGGGAGAGAGGAGGGAGGAGAGGGAGGGGAGGGAGAAGAGAGGGAGGGAGGGGAGGGAGGAGAGAGAGGAGGGAGGTAGGAGGAGAGAGAGTGAGGAGAAGGGAGAGAAGGGAGGAGGGAGGGAGAGAGAGGAGGGAGGAGGGTGAGGAGAGAGAGGAGGGAGGGGGAGAGGGAGAGGAGGGAGGGGGGAGGGAGAGATGAAGGGGAGGAGGGAGGGAGGAGGAGGTGAGGAGGATAGAGGTAGGGAGGAGGGAGAAGAGGGAGGAGGGAGTGAGGGAAGAGGAGTGGAGGGAGGGGAGGAGGGAGGGAGGGGAGAGGGAGGAGGAGGAGAGGGAGGGAGGAGAGGGAGAGAGAAGAGGAGGGAGGGGAGGTAGAGGTAGGGAGGAGGGAGGAGAGGGAGGAGAGGAGAGGGGGAGGAGGGGAGGGAAGAGAGAGGGAAGGAGGAGGGAGGATGAGAGAGGGAGGGAGGAGAGAGAGGGAGGAGGGAGGGAGGGAGTAGAGAGGGAGGGAGGGGGAGGGAGAGAGAGGGAGGGAGTAGAGGAGGGAGAGAGAGGGAGGGAGGGAGGAGAGGAGAGGGAGGAGGGAGAGCAGAGAGAGGGAGGGAGGGGAGGGAGGTGATGAGAGAGGGAGGGAGGGAGGGAGGGAGAGAGAGGAGGGAGGAGAGAGGGAGGAGAGAGAGAGGGAGGAGAGGAGGAGGGAGGAGAGGAGGGAGAGAGAGAGAGAGAGGGTAGGAGGTGAGAGAGGGAGAGGGAGAGAAAGGGAGGGAGAGGGAGGAAGAGAGGAGAGGAGGGAGGAGAGAGAGTGGAGGGAGGAAAGAGGAGGGAGGGAGGGAGGGAGGGAGAAGAGAGGAGGAGGAGGAGAGAGAGGAGAGGGAGGGAGGGAGGAAGAAAGGGATGGAGGAGGAGAAGAGAGAGGGAGGGAGGGAGGAGAGAGAAGAGAGGGAGAGAAGGAGAGGAGGGAGGAGGAGGGAGAGAGAGGGAGGGAGGGAGAGAGACGAGAGGGAGGGAGATGGGAAAAGGGAGGGAGGAGAGAGCAGAGGGAGGGAGGGAGAGAGAGGGAGGGAGAGGGAGGGAGGGAGAGGAGGAAGGGAGGGAAAGGAGGAGGAGGAGAGAGAGGGAGGGAGGGAGGGAGGGGAGAGAGAGGCGAGGAGGGAGGGAGGGAGAGAGAGGAGGAGGGGGGAGAGAAGAGGGAGGAGGGAGGGAGAGAGGAGAAGGAGTGAGGGAGGGGGGAGGGAGAGAGATGAGGGAGGAGGAGGAGATAGAGAGGGAGGAGGAGGAAAGAGAGGAGGGAAGGGAGAGAGGAGGGGAGGGAGGGGGAGGGTATGAGAAGGGAAGGGAGGGATGGAGTGGATGGGAGAGAGGGAGGAGGAGGAGAGAGGGAGAGAGGGAGGAGGGAGGAGAGAGAGAGAGGGATGGAGGAGGGAGTAAGAGAGAAGAGGAGGAGGGACGGAGGTGAAGGAGAAGAGGGATGGAGGGGGGAGAGAGCTGGAGGGATGAGAGGAAGGAGAGATGGAGGCGAGGTATGGGAAGAAGAGGAGGGAGGGAGGGACGGAGAGAGAGAGAGTGAGGGAGAGAGAGAGGGAAAGGGAGTGAGGGTAGAGAGATGAGAAGAGAGGGAGGAGGAGAGGAAGAGGGCAGGAGAGGAGAGAGAGGGAGGGAGGTGGAGGGAATAAGAGAGAGGAGGGAGAGAGAGGGAGGAGGTAGAGAGAGAGAAAGAGAGAGAAGGAGGAGGAGGACGGAGGGAGGGCAGAAGAGAGAGAGGAGAGAGAGAGAGATGAACGAAGGAGGAGAAGATGAGAAGAGCAGAGAGAGAAGAGAGAAGAATGATGAATACGAAGAAGATGAGATGAGAGAGGGAGAGAGAGGGAGAGGGAGAGAGAGGGAGACGGAGAGAAGTGAGAAGGCGTGTTTCACTGCTTCCTGTTCCTCTTAGGTAATGGTGAAGGCTTTAGGATCGGAAGGTGAGAGGCGCAGCGCACGGAATCGGGGGTGAAGGGGGGTGTGAAGGTGCTTCTGAATTGCCCTTTTTTCAGCCTCGGTCTCAGCCTCCGTGGGTCTCCTGTCACCCTCTGAAATTTTTGTCTCCAATCTCGTTTTTTTCTCTCTCTTTCTCTCCCCCTTCCATCCATCTCTCTCACTCTCTCTCTCTCTCTCTCTCTCTCTCTCTCTCTCTCTCTCTCTCTCTCTCTCTCTCTCTCTCTCTCTCTCTTCTCTCTCTCTCTCTCTCTCTCTCTCACACACACACTCTCTCTCTCTCTCACCCTCACACTCTATCTCAATCTCACACTCTCTCTCAGCCTCACACTCTCTCTTACCCTCACCCTCTCTCTCTATCACTCTCACTCTCATTCTCTCTTTCTTTCTCACTCTCTCTTCTCTGCGCTGTCCCCCTTAAAACAATTGTATTGACATTAGTATATAGAGTTTCACTGTAACCATACACTCCGCATCCTATTGATTATCTTAATTTCATTTTCTCCTTTCTTTCTTTCTTCCCTTTTTCCTTTCCTTATCTCTCTAGTTTTTCTTAATTTCTCTCGTTCATTTCTATCTTTCTTTCCTTTCTTGGCCCTTTCTTGTCATATCGCATTCATACTTTACATTCTGTATGTGTATATCTAATTTTGATCTTAATATTTTTTTAGTTAACCTTGTGAGTAACTGTGGCCTGCATGCCTTTAGTGCACGATCCTGTAGGGAAGTACACACCTTCATTTCTTATTTCCAAACTCATTAGACCTTATCCGACCTTCTCTTCGACACCATGGATGTCAGTGCGGGCCCGAGGTAGCCGCTTTACCCACACACAACGCTGGCAAAGAACTGGTGTCCGTCAGTGAAGTCATTTCGATGCTAAAGACGGTAAGGTTAGTTTGGCCTTTGGACCGTCTCTGTGACAGGTAGCTTGAATGAAAGCAAAGTGAAAAAATGATGGAAAGTTTTCATTAAGTAAACCGCTTCATCCAGACACATTTGAAAAAAAAAATATTTATTAGTTAAAGTGACTTCAAAGGTTAAAGATGATATAGTTTGCCCTTTGAATTGCCTCCATGAATATTAGCTTCAGTGAAAGAATTTGAAAAAAGTTCTCGAAATAAATCATTTCATCCACACACTTTTGAAAAACTGATATTTCTTAATGAAGTGACCTCAGAGCTAGGAATGACATAGTCTGCCCTTGGAAATGTCTCCGTGAATGTCAATATTTACTGCCGCGTAAATGAAGAATAAAAAATCCTTCTCAATCAACTTCTTAAAGACACACTTGTAAATAAAAAACATTTTCGTTAGCGGAAGCGCTTTCAAAACTGACAGCGATATAGCTAGTTTGTCCTCTGAAATTGTCTGCGTGAATGTCAGCTCTCTTTTGGCGCGCAAACATGACGCGTCGATAGCCTTCAGGAATGGCCACGCCCGACGG